GTGTCAGGCTGCTTGGGAATCGGGAACGGCACCGAGGGATTGGCAAACCGGTGTGGTGATTCCTCTTTTTAAGAAGGGGGACTCGAGGGAGTGCACGAATTGTCGTGGGATCACTCTCCTCAGCATACCTGGTAAATTCTATTCCAAGTTGCTGGAAAAGAGAGCTCGGGCAATCGTGGGTGATGCCATCCAAGAGGAGCAGTGCGGGTTTCGGAAAGGCCGCAGCACCACGGACCATCTGTTCACTCTCCGCCAGATCCTCGAGAGACATTGGGAGTGTGCCAAACATGTGCTTTGTGGAGTTCGAGAAAGCTTACTACCGCGTACCCCGAGGAAAACTGTGGGGAGTGCTGCAGGAGTATAGGATCAAGGGCCGTTATTGCGGGCCGTTCAGTCCCTATACAGCGATTGCAGAAGCTGCCTCCGAGTGAGCGGGACGAGTTCCTATTGTTTTTGGTACGCGCTGGACTTCGGTAGGGTTGTGTCCTCTCACCTTTCCTGTTCCTCGTGTACATGGACAGGATCTGTAGGCCCAGCCTCGGTCTGTAGGGGATCAACATCGGTGACGTCTGGTAAGGATACTTCTCTTTGCCGACGATGCCGTTCTTTGACCCGCTCTCGACAGGAGCTTGAGCATGCTCGACCGGTTCGACTTCGAATGCACTGCGGCTGGAATGAAACCGAGCGTCTCCAAGACACAGGTCATTGTCCTCTCGAGAAATCCTGCTCGGTGCACCCTGCATGTCAGTGGGGTCCCAATGGAACAGGTGGAGATGTTCAAGTTCCTCGGTGTCTGGTTCTCGAGTGATGGGCGATGCGGAAACGAGATCGACAACCACATCTCCAAGGCTTCTGCAATTATGCGGGAACTTTGGCGAACCCTGGTTGCCAGATCGGAGGTTTCTCGGGAAGGAAATCTCTCGGTTTTTAAGAGTGTTTATCTCCCCACCCTCACCTATGGTCATGAAGTTTGGGTAAAGCACCGAAAGCACCAGATCGCGAGTACAAGCTCCCGAAATGAGCTTCTTGCGTCGAATGGCTGGCGGAACGCGCCGTGATCGGATGCGGAACTCTGCCATCCGCGAGAGTCTCCACGTCGAGCAGCTGCTTCTCTGGATCGAGAGGTCTCAGGCCAGGTGGTTTGGACACGTCTGCCGCAGGCCCCCTGAATGGCTCCCAAAAGGAGTCTCCCAAGGCCAAGACGACCGGCAAAAGAACTGTCGGCAGACCTCTAAGGTGGAGGGATTACGTTGCTTGGGTTTGTTACGAGAGGCTCGGCATCCCACCAACCCGTCTCCATTACGCATGCGAAGGGTAAATGGCAACTGAGACATTACACAATTTCACCAACCAATCAGCTCACCACCTGCAAGAATCAAACCATAAAATTCAGATTGGTGTTTCGAATGCAATCAACTGAACAAGCACTACCACCATTATACAGCATAAACATGCAAGAAGAACTCACCCAGACCCGGACGACGACGGAAGACACCAGATGAAGTTCTGTGAAGTCTTATCGAAATCCTCTTCGCTTTTAAACCCTGATTCCTAGCCACTCCCCCCACACACCCATTCTCCCACCCCTCCCGATCTCAAGGACAAGATCTTGTCTCTCCCCCTTTCCTTGTGAGATAGACATCTGTCCTTCCAACCGTCTTCTAACCGCCTTCCAAACGTGTCCCATATAAATCTTCCTCACGGGTTCCACACCCCACGAATTCCAGAGAGTGCCGGCCTTCCCAATTTCACTTCTCTCCTTGCAAATTTAAGAACGTAATTAATTTCCATGGAGAAAATAAGGGCAAGACCGTGCGCGGAAACACGGGTAACGCTCTTCATCTCTCCAACAATTCCGTTGGAGCTCATTTATTGTATGTCGATTGATAAAGGTCTCCCCATCGCGTCGCGCGCTGGACTTGATCATGGTGCATGAGCAAGACATGACACACTACCAGCATGCTCACTTTTGTATTTGGAATTCTCACTTATAAAAAAAACAATGAATTTCAATGGATTCTGAAAGAATCAGCTCTGAAATATTTAATGCGTCTTTTTCTAAAAGACCGAGAAAAACATGGGAATTCCAGACATGTTCAGGATAGAGATGAACTGAACCAGGGTGGAAGAAAAGGTATGTAATTATTCCATGAATTATAAGTTAGATGAATCAAACGGCAAAGAGAGAAAATCGTGGAACCGTTATTTCCTCATAGGACGGATGTACCTCTACTCATCCTCAAGCGATCCATGAAATTATCAAGTATCTGGGTCTCTTCTGCCATCAAGGGTAGCGCCCAAGACCTTTATTCAACCCCTTCCGGTGACGAAGTTCAACCTTCTCATATTCCTCTCTGAAAGATCCACAGGAACGAAATTTGGCGTACTTCTTCCTCTCCCAACACAAAATCGCTTCATCAAATTTAAAGCTCCATCTCCTTGGGTTTGTTGAGAACACTGGATCTTCCCATTAGATGTGAATTTCGTTCCTGGTCGGTCCTTTTTTTTTCTTTCCACATGGGTAAACGCTCCTGGGAAGTTTTTGGAGGAAAGATAGCTACCAAACAAAAGATAATGACTTGTAGGTGACAAAAAATGTCGTTTTTTTGCTTCCAGTGAACCATTTTGGCATCGAAAAAAAGTAATTAGATGCTGTTCATTTAGACTTACGAGGTGCGACAATAAAGTTCCGAGACTCCGCCCGTAAAAACTGATTAAAATGAGATACAGGAAAAATTGTTTCAATCGCCTTCAAAGTAATCCCCTCTGGCCTCAACATACTTATTACGCCTTTCTAAATGCTTTGACTGCACTTCTCAAAAACATCTGAAGGAATCGCGTTTAGTTCGGCTATCACATTCTGTTATATGTCATCGATATCTTCTAGTCTTTTGCCTTTGGGAGCATATTTTCGCTTAGGAAAGAGGAAGAAGTCGGCTGGAGCGAGATCGTGAGAGTACGGTGGGTGGTTCATCACCACGCCGCCTTTCGCCTGGAAGCGCTTCACAATCAGGGCGGAATGAGCATGCGCATCATCATGCAACAGGAACCAGCTTCCTGCCTCTCGAAACTGCGGCCTCACTCGAGCGATCCGCTTCAACAAACGGTCTAGAACTTGAACGTAGAGTGCACTATTCACTGTCTGCCCTTCAGGCGCTAATTCCTTGTGGATAACACCACATTTGTCAAAAAAAAAGTGATCGACAAAAAGTGCAAGCGGAACTTTTTTTTGGCCTCGGCGAGGTCTTCGTTCGCCATTCCATGCTCTGTCTTTTGGTTGTAGGGTCGTACCGAAACACCCACGACTCATCTCCGGTAACAATACAATCGAGAAAGTCAGGATTGCTCTCACAAATCTGGATGAAATCTTCACAAGTTGCGACTCTGCGCTCCTTTTGCTCATCCGAGAGAATGTGCGGAACAAACTTCGCACAAACCTTCCACTTTGCAAATTTGCATGCAACATTTGACGAATCGTCTCCCTACTTACGATCAGTTCATCCTCCATTATTTTCAGACTCAATCGACGATCCCTGGCCACCAGTTCTCGAACTTTTTCGATTGTTTCTGGATTTCTACCAGTTGACGGTCGCCCACTCCTTGGATCGTTTTCAAGATATTCATGCCCATCTCGGAATCGTTTAAACCATTCAAATACACGAGCACGAGACAGAGCATCATCTCCGTGCACATTTTTAAAATCATGTCTTAAGTTTCTAAAGCGATTTTTCCAAGTTTAAAACAGAACTTGATATTCGCTCACTGCATCTTTAAAAAAAATAGACAAAGAAGAAAAACACTAATTACGCACGATGCTGCTGCAGATCAACTAACTAAGCTAGAACTTTAGTTTTTCTCAATGTTGGTGATCATTACATGCACTAGCTGTAACTGGTTCAATCCAATTTCTACGCAGCCTACAACGCGCAGGATAGCAAAAGTATCGGAACTGTATTGTCACACATCGTAGCACGATGGCTCCGGCCCCGTCTCCAATGTTGCCGGATATCGTGTCTTAGTTTTGCTTGATTCATGACTTCTTCAGCCTTAGTATCGTTGTCTGGATCGTCTCTTTTTAATGTAGGAAGCATTAATGTGCTGAATTCATGGGATGAGCTGAGATCGAAATGGTGGTTTGCAGTAACCGATGGATTTGATGGAACATGGGATACTGGAATCTGATCCGGACATACGTGATACCTAATTTAGCATGATGGTGGTCGGCTTGGATGTCATGCTTTCTAAAGGCCGCAGATAAATATCGCCGTCCGACCCAGTATGGCGCATGCGCACTTAAGGGTCCCCGTCCAACATCGGGGAGCGCATGTACTCCACACAAAAACCATCCGTCTCATTCCCGCAGGAATGGGAGTGTGCATGCTAGTGGCTAACTTGAGGCCGTGTGCTTCAATCGTTGGGTTAATTGCGTAATGATGCGGAAGACCATGGTTAGATCCTAGAGCTCAGGGAGAATTTCTACTGACAGTCTTCCTCCTAGCATCTAGCCAGTGGACTTGAATCGATTCATTCCAAGGTAATGCCATCAAAAGAATGCTCACTACGTATATGGTAATCGGCTTATCTGTTTGTAGTGTCGTGTCTAAGGAGCAGACGACACGACCAGCATCCAGTGTTGTTGAATGGGACTAGACCAGCGAGTCAGAGACTTTGAGAACAAGTTTTGTGCTGTGTTTTTGTGTCTTTCACCTATTTATTTATTTATTTATTTTATTTATTTTCATATATTTTATTAGTTTTTCAAATATCAAGCCAATAGATTAATTATGGAGCTCTCAACTGGTCTTTCATTTTAACCCACGGTGCTAGGCAAAGTGCCATCCTGGCCCTAGCACTACATGTTCCCCTAGAGCAGCAGTCGGCAACCTACGGCCCTCGGGCCGCATCCGGCCCGCCACGACCTCGGTCGGGCTGCGCTAAATTTTTCTTAAATGAATCCATGAAACCTGGACAAATTTATCTCTTCCTCACAGCAGCCACGTTCATCGTTTGAAAGAAGAGAATATACTTTCAGTGTTCTGTGCTCTCATTGGCTGCTGATGACCAGCGACTGTCCGATGATCGAGCCATTCCGTCGCCATCGCGTGAAGTGGCGTGTTTGCAAACGCAGCGGACTTGGTTCGGACTTCAGCCTTCGAAAAACGCTCATCCTTCTTATCGTACCAGCACGCGCGCCCTCCGTACCGCCTGTCCTTTGTTTCATGTCGACGGAATGAGAGGGCGGGACGTGTTAGTCGTGCTGCACTTTTTTTCACTTTCGGTTCGCTGGTGTGTTGTTGGACGTTTTCAATTTCTGTTATATTGTGAACCTGCCCTTCCACCATGTCGCTGCCAATATCAGTAAAAAAAAATAAGCGAAAAGTTGACTTCGAGTGTCGGGTGTTCAGCGACACCGGACCCTCGATTGCCTATTCGTGCAGTGCTAAGATAAGGCAGTTTGTCTTGTACGCAAGGAAAGCGTTTCGGTGTCCAAGGAATACAGCAGTAGCCTTCATCACGAAGCACATCGTTCAGGCAAGTATGCCTCTCTGAAAGGCCAGATCAGGACTGACAAGACAGAGGCTCTGAAAAAGGCCTTGTTTGCTCAGTGGAATATTTTCAAGATGAGAGTGCAGGAAATCCTAGCTCCAGTTCGCGCTAGTTATCATTTCATTAAATTATCAGCAGAGGCACAGAGTTTGCACTGTATGATTAAAGTCTGTATTGCACACATAATTCAGTTCAAATAAACATGAATGAAAAAAATGCAGGAAACCTCTGAGAGCACTTAAACCTCTGAGCACTACTTCTCTAATCGCTCTGCGGCCCGCGACCTGACCGTACTATGACGATCCGGTCCGCCACGACCAAAAGGTTGCCGACCACTGCCCTAGAGGAAACTGTTGTTCTTTTTTCACCTCCCACTATTTGCAAACATCAGAAGAGGATCACCTCTCTCTCATCTGCCCATTTTGAAGAATATTACTTAATGTTTGACCTTAAAACCTATGTAATTCATGGATTCATTGTGCCTCGTTTGTACTGGGACATTAGTGTGACATGTAAACGGATCAGCTTCATGTGAAAACATGTGCAGTGGCCTGAGCGCAATTATAAGGAATTTCCATGCAAAAATGCTCAATTTATTATCCAATATATGAACTTTGGACATAGGAAAAAAAATAAACAGGCTTTCTGTTAAGGGAAAAAAAAAGATAAATCAATTTAAATATGGTTTTGTGAAGTTTTTCCAGCCACCTTAAAAGACGTCTGTGTTTGCACGAGAAGAGCAAGATTGGTGTGTTGCAACTGGAAATACCTCAGGCTTAGAACTTTTTGAACCCCCAAGTAGAACAAAGCATGGATTTCAGAAAATACGACTATCACACAAACAGCACCAAATGCACTATATTTTTCTGATTCCACAGCATCCTTCACAGTACCAAAGAAGAGTTATTGGTGGTCATTGCAGACTCGTGCATTCAAGGTGGACCCACTGAAGGCAACTGTCACAGCAGATATTTTCGTCCTCATGAATGCTAATGCTGCACACTGTGTATGTCCACCGCATGCATGCTAATTTGATCTCTTGGACAGTCTCAATAATTTTTATGCATCATTTGCAAAAGGCTTCACTAGCGAAAGATTGACGTTCTCATCCAAAATGGAGTCTGGAATCATTTCTGGGCGACACTCAATTATGTTTTCAGAAACAAAGTATCATTCAATTGTTGATGGTTTGGCGTCCAAGAAGCAGCTAAGTCATCTTTCTGTACTATCCAGATGGTGACAATTGATTAAAAAAAAGTGTTTTGGAGAATCTACATTCTCTCCGTTGCCATACTTTCGTGGCAAGCCAACAATGGTGTATGGCAGTCTTTAGTTTCCCAAGTCTTTTCATGGCAGGAGGAACCTGTATATTTCCTAAGTTTTTGCTAGACTCAACTAATTTAGTCTGGGAATTTTCAAGTAAGCATGAGATTATAGGCAAGTAGTAACTAAGAGATCCTTCAATTGAAGAAGATGGGATACTACCCCCTCTACATGAATCATGAACTTGCAAGTGGAAGCTTTCAGTTCCATTTTGAGGAGTTAGCAGTATTGACTGTTAGCTCCCCAGAATGGGAGTCAGAATGCCCTGTAATAATCAGAATGTCAGGATGTCCAGAAAGTCCTCAGAATGACTTATCATGACTGGATGATGGAAGAGAAATGGATGGAAGGCCGTAGAGTTTATTCTGGGAACTTGGTTCACAACTTTCACTGTAAGGTGGAGAAGGATTGACATTCAATCCGACCAATTCAGGTGTGAAGATAACTAAGGATGAAGGATTGCTGTCAAAAAAGCCAGCTGTGGATGAATGAATCTCCAATCTACCTAATGGTTCAGTTGAAAAAGAACCAGCAACAGAATTCCCCTATCAAGACTCTGGCAAATCGAAAATTCCCTCAGCCCTAATTTCCTCCTCATCAGTATTTTCAACGATATCAACACCTTTTTCTGCAGATCACATTTCAAGAGCCTTCAAACGTACCTGTGACACTTCTACTATCAAAGACGCAAGTTGGTTCCCTATGATGGAAGCTTTTGAGAACTTTTCCTTGTGGGTTATAATTTTCCTCTTAGCAGATGAGTGTCAACAACACTGAATTCGTTTCATTTCTCACTGCATCATTACTGACCAGTCGAGATATCTAGCAGTAGTGCTTCATTAGCCACCCGCTAGCAAAGAGATCTTCATCGTACAAATCCAGCCCTTCCAGTCTCACTTAAAAAACACGCTGTGGTAAGTTCATTGCCTTAATGGCAATATGAAGAACTTCAGCTGAAGGGACTCTATATTGCATCCAACTGCTTTAGAACACGGCCTGCTGCATAAGGAGAAAGCAAAGTCGGATATTTCTTATGTGGTAATTCTGCTGAACAAGACAATGGCTGTTTCTGCAGCATGGAGATTGCCATTCTGTGATCTCTCTCATTCCTCATGCAACCAAGCAAAACGTACAGTTGGTCAAGGAATTGCTCCAGAGAGCTAAACCTGGTGATTACAGGTTTCAACTTCGATTGAAAGATTCCTCCTTTAATGAGCTCCCTCTTCCACCACTTAGTCCAATGTCTGATGGGATGCCAGTTTCTGTCAAAGAAACTTATCACAAGAAGGAGTTCTGAGTCACAGGTCGGTGTAAATTCTATCATACTCTTGACGGATTTCTAAAGCTCTCTCTAAATATTCAAAAATTTTCTCTTCTCGTGAAATTCCAAAATTGTCGCAAATCGTTTCACTCTTAAGGGACTTCAACACATGAAACATACAAATCAACGGGGCATTGACCATAGGGAAAAGTCACTTAAATACCTTTCTTTCAGGCCCTTATCTGTCATGATGACCTGCACTTTGATGCTGAAGCATAACTAGTCTTGAATGCAGAAATCAACGATTCATGATTCTTCATATGCTGCTAGGATGCCCACACCAGCAATCCCACTGTCTCCATTTGTCTTCCACAAGGAACACATTCACAGGCTCGTGCACGATTCCATCGCTCGGTCCTTTATTTAGAGAAATTTCAGGGTTATACGATATCTGCCAAAGGGACAACTTGCCAATATCCAAGTGTGACACATTTACGTCTATCTGGGGAAAAGTAGGTTTCGGCGTGAGAAGGCTTTCCTCATCCTCGGCAGGACACCAACATGGGTGTTCACGTTGGGTGGCTCCATTTCTCCTGTCGACGCAGATGATTCTGGTAAGGGTGAGCCTCATTTCTCTCTTCCGTCCCAATGATCTGTTTTTCAATTACATTTGAGGACAGGTCGTCATTGGGCAACTGACTCCACACGATATCAGCAAGCAGTCGGTTATATCTGTATCTCTGGGAATCAGAATATCAAGCTCAATGATGAATCCGATTTAAATATCGGAAAGAGTACTCGATAGAAAGATCATGCTTCTCAATTTAAGAACTCACTCGACGCCAGAGGTGGACGGCAAGCAAGCTTTTCATATTAGAATCGGAATCCCAAACTTGGGTCTTCCTTCCATTGAGATGAAAGCCAGTCACTAAATGAACAAAAGGATGGCGAATGTACACCTGGGGCGTTGATGTGCATTAGCCGCGCTATATGGCATGCTGGATTTGCCGAAGTCACCCAACTCCCTCGCGCCATGCAGTGTACATGACAAAGGCCTCCCTCCCGGTCTCTTGCACAAGATATCAAACCTGATGAGAATTGAAGTCATCTACTTCTGGCGCCACCTAGTGAACAATGGGAGAACTAAACCCCCCCACTACCTCCCGTCATCTAGCAGACGACATGAAAACTGATCCTTCCTCATCCCATGTTCCATCCAACGAACAGAAGAACTTATGAGCCGATCGGCGAATATGTCGTCGACTGAAAAGTACTGAAAGTAGTTTCTCCCATTTCCACATAGTTCCCATTAACAAAAGGGTGCCCTAGGGACTACATTTTAAATTCTAAATGACGTCACCCGGTGAAAAATAAGCCCGCATGGGAAGGCTTTATCTCTCTCTTCAGTACGTGTGCGACCATTGGTTGAAGAAATCGGGTGGTGTCACCTATCAGTTCATCACCTGCAAGAATAAAAACATATCATTCTCAATGGTATTACGAATGCAAACAACTGAACTTCCCCCATTATACAACATAACCATGCAGGTACGAGAAGAACTCACCCGAACCCAAACGACAAAAGACACCCCAGGAAGCTCTATGAAATCTTTTCGTAATTCCAAGCGCTTTTAATTCTTGCTCCTTGCCACTCCCCCCACACACCCATTCCCCCACCTCCTCCCGATCTCAAGGACACGATCTTGTCTCTCTCTATTTCCTTGTGAGACATATTTCTGCCTTCCAACTTTTCTAACCGCCTTCCAAACGTGCTCCATATCAATCTCCATCACGAGTTCCAGACCCCACCGTGTAGGGTGTGAAACTCGTGAAACTCACGCTTTCTAAAGGCATTTTCTTTTCGGGACTATTCGAGACGGTTCGACAAATAAGAGCGATTTGTTGGCGCTCGAGGAAGTACAGAGGAGGGCCACGAGAATGATTCAAGGTCAAGGGACTTTCATTCGAGAAGCGTTTAGAAGTGTTGGGACTGTACTCGCTCGAGCGAAGGTTAAGGAGGGGCGATCTCATCCAGGCTTTCGAAATAAAGGAATAGATAATGTCGAGTGTGGTAGGTTTTTCNATAATGTCGAGTGTGGTAGGTTTTTCCAGTTCGATGGCAGCAAGAGAACGAGAGGTAACCGACTTAAGTTGCGCAAACCGCAGGTGCGGCTCAGGTCGAGACAGGAATTCTTTACTTGGAGAGTGGTGAACGCGTGGAATGCGTTAGATGACGAAGTAGTGGCTGCAACGCGCTGTGACTATCATTAACAAGAAACCGGATGCTTTCATGGACAGGCAAAAAGTTGTGGGGAAATTATGACGTTAGGTACTAGACAGTAAGCAACTAGGACAGTAAAAAAAAAATACAGAAATATTTAGTTTTAAGAGGGTTAGGCCTATCCTAAAATTAAGGAACGCTAAACTTCGACACGTGATATCAAAATGGGTGAAATCACCTCTTGATATCACTATCTTGGCTCTTAACTCTTGAGAAACTATGGATCGGCCTAATGTTCCCCGACGGCATCTAAATGGTTCATGAAACTCGAAAGAGACCTACGTTTGGTCTAACGTTACACGTTATCTGCTAAATTGGCCGTGAGAAACTGAATAGGCCTGCGAATGACCTAAGTTTCACGTTCTCAACGAGGTGTCTGGAATACCTGGGATTAAGAGGGTCCTGCCCTTCCTGAAAATTGAGCTAGGGCGAAGGTGTTGCACAGATGTGGCATATTGTCTCCATGCCACTCTTTACCCTCAGGACTCCCTCCGACGGAAAGCATTTCCTAAAAATCAAACTACCTCCATCTGGTCTCTCATCTGATCGAGGGGAAGGAACTTCACCCTTTATTTTACATCTCCCTTCACTCTCCGCGTTCTGCATTCATCGCCTCGAGACATCGGCGTAGTCATTCCGTTTCAAAGCATTTTGTCCGCCCCAGAATTAAAAAAAATATATACAAGTATATTTAGTTAATATGGTGCAAATCACCCCAATTCAATTGCACCGTTTTTCTACTTGAGACATGCTCTTCGATGCACACAAATCAGATTTGAAAGATGATTTAAAATAACATGAAAATAGCCGCATCATAGTGCAAATAACAAATACTCTGAGATCTTAGTATCCGGCTGTTCTGTCCTTCTCAGGAAGGATACTTTCTGCACCTTCACCATTTCATTGATGAGATCAAGCAGTTTCGCCCGGGGACAGGAAAGTAAACAAAGTCAGTTCGAGGTCAAGGGGAATTCCTGGGGCGCGAGAATTCTGCATTTAGGAACAGTATAAATGCATCGCATCACTCGTTACCCAAGACGTCTTCACGGATGGCGTTTCCAAATATACCAACCGACTTGATTCTGAATCCGAGTGCTTGGAAGGACACTTCATGGACACGATGAGGCGAGGGTCCGTATTCCCACGAAAGAAATTCATATCCAGAGGGCAGGGGAGGGGAGGCAACGAGAAACCAGACAGTAAAGGACCAATTCTTTCCTTTTCCCCCATTTTTCCCAATTGCTTTTTCCCTATGGAAAGAACGACTTCATTCGGGATGACCTCTCCTCTCTGACTTGTCTTTGATGATGTGAAAGCATAAAAGAAGATCCTCTAAGAAAGAGATAAATACTGCTTGGAAGATGGCTCATGAGATGGAGAGGGACACAGAGTGAAACTTCCTCACGGGCGTCTGAACATTTTTGTTTGGATGTGAACAGGGTCTATCAATAGTCAGATATCCACCCATCTACAGAAACAGATTTTGGCGTCTCTCTCTGTACAACGGTCAACATGAACCTATGAAGCATGCAATTAATCAGTTCCCGATGCGAGGGTTTCTGCTTCAATTTCCACGCTAAAAAACGTTTGCAGTTAGGCTTTCTTACATTTGGACATCGACGAGACCGGACTGGGTTCATACTCGACGAGGAGGGAACATGACCGTAATTGCTTTCATTTCTCCCACGCGTGATTTCAAAACATTCGAAGATGGTGGTCTCACAACAGAAGAATCTGTAAACTTTCTTGATGAAATGAGGGCTGTGATTGGCCCAGATAAACGGAGCTGTTTTCATCACGGAAAGCTGTATGGCTCTCTGACAAATGATTCTCCGATACCCGTCACATTGAAGTAACTTGTCCCTATTCTAAACAGAGGTGAAGAGATAGCTTAGGTTCACAATCAGCTCCCATTGCCACTGTGTTGCAGGTCGAGGTGTGTCTTTGGCGCGATATCGCAGGAAAAATCTTGAACAAGCTGTACAAGATGCACTAAAGAGTTTACATTCCCGATCATACGGCGCCGAGCAAACCCAGCCGTTTGCATGGACAGGTCATAGAAAACAGAAGTCTTTTTCGCATGAAGTCAACATTTCCAAGCCATGGAAGGGAAAGGCCTTCACTGATTTCTACGTTTTCCTCCTTCCCTTCCTCTCCTGTCTAGACGTGGATTCCTCGAGGGGGAATGCGGACCCTCTGCTCTTCACATCCATAAAGGCATCTCGCCAAAACCATCCTGGGTAACCAGCCAAAAGAGAATAGGGGATCGGGTCCTCATTTACAAGGCCTACACTCTTAGGAAAAGGGGAGCTATTTTTCTCAAAAAAGAGGGTAAAGTAGCTAACTCCTGTTTCACCCCCATTCATCTCTGGGAAAGGAGCGAATTTACTCCATCACCAAAGAGTAAAATTGCTCCTCCTCCTCCGCGAGTAAAAACGCTCCCATCAGAAAGTGATAGGGATGTCATGCAAATACGAAAATTCTCATATCTTGTATATTGTGTCGCTTTCGCTCTCGTACAGGCGTTGACCTATCTCTGATTGGACTAATTACAGCACACAGAGAGTGGACCACCTCGTACAGGTTCTGTGGAGTCCCTTATTACTTCATTTAATTGAGGTATGATCATAGAGTAGGGTGTGTCACTAGAAGCTTCCACTCCGCTCGAATTCCATTCATTGACAGGGTCGTAATGTAGATGTCACTGTCGATCATCCACCTAGCGGGCATTCATCAACAACTCTTTCCATGCTCGGCAGTGAGCCGAACCGCGTGGTAAACACGTGCAGGTTGATGGACCCATTCTATCACAGCTAACTACTCCCCATTTATTCATGTTTGCTTATTTACGCCTAGGGATGGCTTGGGGCTTATGACAGATGAAGAGTACGTAATTTTATCTGACCACTAGCATTAGGCCTAGCCTACATCACTCTGATAAGGAACCGTCATGAACGCTGACCAACGGAGGTGTTGTTGATAATACGCCACCAGATGTCTCTGTAATATTTCGACTCTCCCCTACCCCTCGGAGTGTCGCCTCTAGTTACACTCTCTATGGTATGAGTGAATGATGTTCATGGACACACTCTGTATGTACTAGATCTCCTAAGCGGATGAAAACCATAAGCGTTCCAAAAGGTTTCTCAATAGGAATGAGCTTGTTTATGGTCTGAACACGTCGTGAATGTGGATAACAAATGAAGTGTCCGTGTTTATTGATTCCTATAATGAGACAAGGCGAGACATATGGCAAGGTACTAAACAATCCTGCGAGGGACGATTCCAGGGAACTGGAATCGTCCCTCCCAGGATTGTTTAGATAGTTTATTCCCTCTCGCAGGAGAGGGAAGGGAACCTGTGTACTGCGTGAAAAGCGAGACCTTTACCATGATCTAGTGGTCTGGTGAAGAACTTCCATGGAGTTTTCTTCAATACGAGCGGTGAGGGAGCATTTGGCGAGTAATGAGGGTAAATTCGAAAAGCTCACGGTGCTCACTTTTTACTCCCCAAACGCTCGGAATTTCCCCCCGTATCTTGCGCCATCTAGCGAAGACAAGACGCATTAATCCCCTCACCCTCAGCCTCAGGCGCTATCTTCTGAACGAGATGGGAACTGATCTCCACGGACTCGGGCGCTATATATCAAACGTTATGAGAACTGAACCACCATTTAGCGGACGACACGAGAACCGATCCTGCGCTACCCCACGAACCTAAAACTCTCGAGTTGATTTCCCTCTTCAACCAATCTTGGTCGTTCTTCTCGACGGCTTATGTCTCAGGATGAAAATAAGTTTCTCCCATTTCAACGCAGTTATTAAAAATAAGGGTTCTATGTTCCATTCAACTTTTATATTGAAATTGTTAGGCATATTGAATCTAACATGCCCGCATGGGAAGCCTTGTTCTCTCCTCAGGCCGTATAGGATGACTGACGTTGGTTGAAGTAATCGGGCGGTCCCACCAAACAGCCCATCACCTGCAAGGATCAAAATATATTATTCCGAGTAGCGTTTCGCATGCAAACAACTGAACACACACTTCCACCAATACACGAAATAACCAAGCAAGAACTCACCCAGACCCAGACGACGAAGGAAGACTCTGACGATGAAGACGAGGAAGCTCTATGAAGACCTATCCTGATCCCTTGTGCTTTTAAACCCTTGTTCCTTGCCACTCCCCCCACACACCCCATCCCCTTCCCCTTCCTGATCTCAAGGACACGATCTTGTCTCTCCCCTATTCCTTGTGAGATATACATCTGCCTTCCAACCGTCGAGAAGGCACATTTCGCACCGTTTTCCCTAATTATGGCTCGTTTCGATCTGAAATTTCTTCACGGTCTTTTGTCATCTGTCATTTGAAAGGGACTCTTACTGAAA